ACAACTCTGAGGTCCCAGGGGTCCTTCTGGCTCTGACACAGGGCTACAGCGGTGGCGAGCTGTGGCTGGCTCATGACTTGGGGGATACAAGGATGTTGTGTGGTGGTGTCTTCCGGAGGGGGATCAAGATTGACGTCACCACTCCCTTCCAATTACTCATGCTACGTGTGCCTGGACAGGAGACCGGGTTGTGTTGTCGGCCTATAGCACGGCTGCCAGTACGTGCAACCTCTCGGACGATTTGTACTGCCGGCTCTGCTCTTTTGGTTTTCGGCCTCCTACTGCTCACGAAGAGGATCGCTTTCGACACGAGATTTGGGGGGCCACGGTTACGAGGCAACTGAGGCTTGAGCCTAGACTGGTGTGGCCGCGGGGCACCTTGTTACACCACCCTCCTGTGACGATCGACCTGGAGGATTCCTGTCCAGCAACGATACCGATACCGTCTGATACGGAGTCGGATGTCATCAGCATGTGCATGGGAGCAGCCAGTCCAGAGCCCGACTACTGGGATTGTGTTATTTCCGATCCGGAGTAATCTTTGTGCTCTTTTTGTTCTTATTTCGGTGTTTCGGAGTTTGGGTGCTCTGGCTGCTCCTTTTTATTTCCCTCACGGGTTTTTGCCTCTGCATGTAGTGGGTAATCCGCTAGTTCTGTGCAGCTCTAGGCTCTGATACTGACCGCTGTAGAGGTTTGGTCACCATCCATGATTTTCCAGCTGGCCTGCGCCGTGGCCTTTGGGCTATGCTTGGCAGCGATGTACTCGGTGTACTGCATGTTCCGACTGAGTATGAATTCAATGCGTGCCCACGAAGCTGTTTTGCTGCAGCTCCTTGGAGAGCAAAGACAGATGCATGACCTCCTGAACCAGACTCGGGGCGACGTTGCTGAACTCCGACGAAGACATGGTGAAGCCCTGGACTCTCTGTACCATGGCCTGCAACTACGATCCAGACTGGGGGCAGTGGACAATACTCATGCCCTTGTTCAGGAACTCCATTCTCGGGTGTCTGGTCTCGCGGGAATACAGCATGTTGGCCACGTGCGAGGGCAGCTGCACGATGTCTTGGATGCTCTGCGCGAGATACAACAATCGCTCGAAGGGATGAATGTGGACGGGAGTGCCTCGTCTTCAGCGCTGCCCATCGTCCGACTTGCCGTTCCTACTGGTACTGAACTGCAGCTGCTGTGATACATTCGAATTCAGCATAGGCAATGGACGAGAGTGCTTTGTTGTGTTTGCTTTTGGTTCTTGTTAGCTCGGGTCTTCGTTCTTTTGGTGTAGCCTTCACACGCACTCTTCGCGCCTGCTGGAGAATTCCTTGAATTTACTGATTTCCGAATTTGTAGCCATGTAGCATGTTGGAATTTGCAGTTGTGCGTGTGCAGCCGAGTAAAAGCATGTGCCGCCGCGAGCTTGCCAGCGCATAGGGGATGATGCGATGTTTGGAAGACGATGTAGGTGATACCTTTGACCCTCGGGACCAGCATTTTCTGCCCAACACTTGGTATCCACTGCCCGTCCTAGCACTGCTTCCTGTTCCTGTCTCTAGCCTGAGCCTTGGCTGCTTGGGGGCCGCTGGGCTCGATTACATGATCGACGAGGCGCGTACTTTGGGCAGGGTTTTCAGGGTTTTCTTTGGGTTCTTGGACGTGATGCTTGTGACGAGGGCCTTTTGGGGTACTTCTGGGTAGCCGCTTCTGCCACATAAAGATACTAGGACGCATGCTGCTTCAAGCATCCCCCTCCTGCCAGCTCTAACGCCGCATGCTTGCGCAGCTCCTTTGGCTGACGCGCCCAGTAAACTGAAGGCTACAGCTAGACTCCCGTGCTGAGGCGCCATGTCTGTTGCCTTGTACCAGGCTCAACACCGCTTTCCCGAGGGAGGCGAGGATGGGCCGGATCTCACCGGAGTATGGTGCATGCTCCTCACGGGTCTGATGGGAGCCTTGTTGGCTGGTCTCTTCTTCCTTGGCCACTACTGGGGGTGGGCCCTTTTCCCCTGCATGCGACGTGCGGGGGTCCAGCAACGTTTGGACGATTTGGTCCGGGCCGTGCAACAACTGCAAGCGCTGGTTCATGCTGAAGGCTATGCCACCCGCAGTGCTGGCGCGGACGCCCTTCAACGGGCCATGGGCCTGCTTGACGTGGACGATTCCCTGACTCGCATGCTCAATGATGGATTCGAGGACGGCCGCAATCGTCTGCAAGCCATCATGAACAAAGTCATGAAAGTTGGCGAGGTGGCCAACACAATCCATGCCATGCACGCGAATTTGGGGAATACCCTTGCAAGCCACCAGCTGGAGCTTCAGAGAACCATCCAGCGTGCCAAGGACGACCTCAAGCAAGCCTTTTCCTCTGCTGGGTCGAAACTGGCGGGCAGTGAACACAAAAGCATCACAGATGCTCTCAGTGCCATCTCGGCTGCCCTCGAGGAGGCCAAGCTCAACACCTCTACAGCTTTGGATGCGGTGGCCAAGAAGATGGTGAAGGACTATGCGGACCTTCAACGATTCCTCACTCCGCTACAACGAAACCAAGAGAGTTTCTCCACGGGCATGAACGGGAGGTTCGAGCAGCTCCAGAAAGACCTCTCAGGCATCTCCTACGCCTTGAGCAAGCAGATCAAGGAGCTCAGTGGACAAGTGCGATGGGCTCAGCAATCCCTGGATAGAATTCAGGGGGACAGCGAACACTTGCCAGATAAACTCAATTTTCTGAGGGGGCTTCTTGAGGCGGTCAAGGAACAGCTGGAAGTCCTTCAGAAGGAGATCGAAGCTATGAATGCGGAGCCAACGGCACGCTCTCCCACTGCAGACCCGGCCACAGCTTCAGGACCAGGACCCGCCGCCCCACCGCCTCCGGCTCCGGCGGCAGCGACTGCGGGTGGACCAGGGCCCACGATGCTGAACCTGGACGAGTCCCTCCCAATGGTGAGCCGCCAAGGGCAGGGATATTTGTGCCCGATCACGCTCCCGGATGGGAAGGTCATTTTCATCCCGAGGTCGGTTCTTGCACAGATGCTAGGAGCACATGTATTGTAAATGTCTCGCTGCTCTTGAGGGCCTGGAGATCCTTTCTATGTTGCACTGTTTTGCTACTTCTTTGTGGCCTCTATGTTCCTGTTTTCCATGTGTCGATGGCCCCTCAGCAGCACATCCGACGACTGTGATGATGCATGCTCGTACAGTAGGAGGCGAGAGCGATGTTTTTCATGCGCCTGGCCCCTGAATTTCATGCAAACTGCAAGTGTCGTGAAGACCCGAATTTGGTGCATCGAATTTTCAGCATGCCTGCATTGAATTCAAGAATATGAATTTAAGCCTGCGAATTTGGGAATGATCATAGGTCGTCTTTTGCAACAGTACCGAGCATCCACAGCCAAGCAGAAGAAATGCCGCTTCGAGTGTCTTCTTGGACGACCCCACACAAACCCACAACCACCCCTCTCCCTTTGCCCTCTCCCCCCCTTCCCCCCCCCCCCCCCCCCCCCCCCCCCCCCCGCTCCCTTCCTCCCTAGGTCATGGAGTCTTGTTACACCATAGCCCCAGCGTCTTGTTGCAGCGTACATAGCCATACCCTCCCCTCTAGTGTCAATACATGCCTGCACTGTCATATGCCCTGCTGTTCCTTAGCTCCAAGCCAAGCGTCTTGTCGTTTCTGAGTGGCATTGTTGCCGAACCAGAAGCGAGCCCACTGCTACTCCCGTTGCCCTACAAACACACTGAAGCCTGACAGGATCTTCATGCTCCGCATCACCACCGCGATCGGGGGACGGGCACAAACAGGGCAGTGCTGCCGGGAACCACGCCAAAGCAGGGGTTTGGAGGGTCTTTCCGGCCCCGTCATTCCCGCGTTCTCGTTCGTGTTGTGGGTTCTCCTCCAACCCTCCCTATTCGGGGTCTAGGTAGCCCTAGCCCGCGGCGCTTCTGCCATGGCTCACAACTGCCAGTTTTCTGCTCGCACCTCTGGGTCCTGGCTGGCTTGTGATGGCAGACGATGCCACGCTCTAAATGCTGTTTCGGCCCCTGGCGCGACGACTAGACGACTGCTCTGACCACTGGGACTGCTTTGATGCCACTCATTATTGTGTGTCTCCTTGGATTCCCCACGGAGAGACCAATGATGGGCTGTTCTGGTTATGCTGCCCCTGATGTATGTCCCATAGCTGACACCGCGGACGCAAAACGTATTCTTGGGAGATGCCCGGCCGAGATGATGGAGTCTGTTATGCTGCACTGATGTATGTCTGGCAGCCGAATACATGCTCCACTGAACGCGAGTCTGGAAGCACAGAGCCTTCGTTGTGCATGCATGGAATTTGGGCTATGCTTTCTGCATACCACGGCTTACACCAAACTGACTGCAGCAATCTGGGTGATGCATTGAATTTGGATGCATACGATACAGCGTGAAGGGCCTCTGCCCTGTGGTGTCTACTGACTGGAGTGCCGATGCTGGGCCGTTTTTCCTTGCATCGCTGTCGAGCCTACAACCAGAGGAACGTACCAGTCTGGACGCTTAGACGTACAACGCGCATGAACGGAATTTGAGAATTTGAATGCATGTGCAACTGCATGAAGCTGTCGAGCCCTCATCAGCAAGTGGCAACGGTCTGGACATTTGGGCGTCCAACGAGCATGAATGGATTGGGAATTTGTGTGCATGTGTTGCTGCATGTATGGCATTTTGCCAGTGGGGCCAACTGGACTGAGGATGCCGTGATTTCTGTGTTGATGAGTTCACAGTTTGAGGATGATGCGAATAGCTGCAGGATGCAGGTTGAGGTTGATCGTAGCGCGGATAATGTTTGCTGTCGTCAATGTATGATGGCTTGGGCCACATGTGCCTGTCGTGGGACCAGGGAACCTCGCCAAGGCTTGTCCGAGTGTGAGTGCTGAAATAATAGGATAGGGACCCAAAAAGGGACTAATTTTGACAACCACCCACATATAGAATTCCAAACTCTTAAAGAGCATCCACATATCCCGAGCAGGAGCCTGGAGTGTCGGCCTGGATCCGGCGTGTTTCTTCCATGCGCTTCGGTGCGCGAGCACGGGAACCCAGAAGTGAACGCAGGATTTGAGGGCTCAGGGCCTTTATGTAGAGGTTTGTGTTTTGGCTGTAGGGCTGTGGGTTAGGAGTGCAGAGTTTTGTAAAGGAGTAAGCGGCAGTAAGCGCAACTTAGGACTTTCAGTATAGACGTTTGCGTGAGGTTCGGGTTTTGGGTGTCTGGCATACGAGTTTGATTGAACTTAGCCTTTGCAAATGTTTGCAAGCTTTACCTGCAATGTGGTGATGATTGCCACAGAACTAACCCCACGCCCTTCAAGCCCCAGTATAGTGGTGTGACTAGTCCGTAGCAGGCTTCCCAGCCATGGTATGATACGCCCCAAAACCTTATTCTGAAAAAATACGGCCCCTCTAAAAATCTGGAAAACAGAATCAACCCCTTTAAACAGTTTTGTAGAACCCTAGATAAACGCCCTGAAGCCGTTCTTTTGTCTTCCGGCCGGCACAGGTCCTCCAGCGTGCGAAGAAGAACTTGCCAGATGAGGGAGATGGCATCACAGAACAGGCCGGTTTGGGATTTGGTGGCGTTGATACTTGTTATGGTGGGGTGTTATACAACAGGATTTGTGTAGGGCGCTGCAAGATCTTGCAGGCTTTGTATTGGGACATCAAAAATGAGAATACTGCTTTGGGTGTGGTATAGTGTGGTGGTTTACAGTATAATCGTGACTAGTGCTTGAGGCCACTGTAGGGGTGTCGGCCAAACTTTTAGGGCCTATCGTAAAATGCCATAAAAGCCCTCACCCCAAAAGGCAAGTATCATAGTGGGATTCCTATTAGGGTTGAACTCAGGGCCTGTATGGCTTTCAGGGTTCCGGATTGAGGAGGGGGGGGTCGAAGGTTCAGGAGCTTCGAGTGGTCTGAGACTGGAGCCTGTTATTGCGATTATTATGTTTCTCTTGATTGGTCGTAAATTGTTAATTACAACTATCGTGATTGCTATGTCTTGTCATTGTTAATTATGACTATGTCTACTTTTCGTATGTTTATAGCGGGTATATTGTTGCTATTATTGTCGCGGTTGTTTTGAAGTGAACCAGAGGTTGGGAAGGAACGCCTCTTCGTCGTTTCATAGTTTCGGCTAGCCCTGGGCTGTGAAACACATGTGGATGGTTGTCAAAATTCGGGTCCCTTTTTGGGTACCCTACACAATAGGTGCCGTATTGTAATAGGTACCCAAAAAGGGACCATTTTGACAACCACCCACACGTAAGGCCCAAAACCCCAAGCAACATCGCCGGAAGCTTCGGGAGATGTGGCCCTTCCTTCTGATACCCTTTGTCTTATAGGGCCTCAGGGTTTGCAGCAGTAGACCTCACAAGGATGTTTCGGTTGCGTAAGACTTGCTTGACATAGGGTGTCGGGTTCAGAACTTGGGTTTAGGGGTGCGTGCTTGGGGATTAATGATTGAGTTAGTGCTTTGGGTTCAGGAGTTTACTGGAGGTTCAGACTATAGAGTTATAGGGATAGCGAAGGTGCTCTTAGCACCCCCACGGTTTGGAACCCTGGTGTTTTGAATCCTTTGGCACTCTTTCGCTCAATGACCTGAGCTTGTGTTTTCCATGCCTCGCATCTAAAGGAGCGCTGGGGCAACGACCTGCGCGCGCTTTCCACCTTGTCCCTGGCTGGCGGAGAGAAGGACCTGCCGTGGCCTGGCCCACCGAGTCTGACCGTAGGTACAGGGTTTCAGGGCTCTCAGGGTTTAGGGCTTAGCATTTAGAGGTTAGCTATATACAAATATAAATATATACATATATATATATATACGACACACCATCTCCGAACCTAGACACTTCTGGCTTGAAGCTTTCGATCCCCAAACCCTCGGCTTGTGCAGCTCGTAATAGTGGCGGAGTCTGTACTCGCCAGTAGGTCGTACCTTTAAAGCGACAAGTCAAGTTCGATTCTGGCAGCCTTATCATGCAAACTCTAGTTCGCGTCTTAACGAGGCTCTCCGTCCGATCTTCGTAAAATCTAGTACCTACACTATGCTGCATTCGACGCCAGCGGTTCCTTGAACCCTGCTTTGGGCTAAGGTCACATTTCAGTTGAGCTTTCGCAGAACCGAACTGAAGAGCTTGACAGGAAGTCCTTGCATTAAGGGCTCTTTTCGGCAGCTGCCCCCCATGAAAGCCCAAAGCCTTGAGTTCAAACCCACCGAAGCGCAGACTGAGGCGCTGTTTTCTCACCGGCACGACCTTTTTGGAGCAGCTCCAAGAGAGCGCAAGTCTCATCAGCGAGTTTGAGACCCGCGGATGCATTGAGGTGGGGGCTTTAAAAGTTAGCTACACTTTTTGGGGGGTTCCTTGCAATAATCATAGTATGATGGTCCCCAACACCCTATTCTAATTGTTCAGGCCCCTGTATTGCCGGGCCTTTGGGTCGGCTATGCCATGGGGCTTCCGGCCTGTATTGCAGCTTCCAGGAGAGCCTTCGTGTAGTTCCTATCAGCATCTGGCACAAAGGCATTCTCTCACTCACTGCATGCCGTGCCGGAACAGCAGCCGCAAGACTCAACAAAAAAGGACGATTAGCCTCGATAAAGTATCGAAGGACACCAACCACAGCATGGTCATTCTTTCCAATTCAGGTTCACACCCAAGTTCAGCCTTTCAACACAACAGCCAGCAACAGCTTTAACTCCTGTCTGGCATGTCCGAGTTGTGAGCGCATGACTCTCGAACCAGCAGCATCGCTCGTTAATTGGTTGCGGTGCTGTGAGCCGTTTCTGTTTCTTTCTCACCGAGGAAGCTCCACCCAGAGGAGGCGGTCTACGCGATAGGCCTGGATCGACACGCAAGGAGCAAGAAGCTAACCGGAAGATTCAAGAACCTTCTCTTTGAACCTCCATATCATGGTCCCACATGCGTTGCAACCGCAAGTTTTTTTTGGGAGCCCTTACTACCGTAGCTGTAGTAGGTCGAGGGAGGTTTCCGAAAACCCCTCGGTCCTGAAGGCTGCGTGGGCATCCTGATCCGCTGCCGCCGCAGCGATGCCTCAGAGGTTGAGCCCTGGCCGGCGCCTCGGGGCTTTAGGGTTTATAGGGCGTACAGGGTTTAGGTTTAGGGTTTAGGCTTAAGGGTTTAGGGGTGTTTAGGGCTTTTAGGGCTTTAGGGTATATAGGGTTTAGGGTTTAGGCTGAAGGGTTTAGGGTTTTAGGACATAGGGTTTAGGTTTAGGCTCTGGACCTAGCGGTTTAGGGCTTTTAGGGTTTAGTGTTATTGGTAAAAAAGCCAGAGTGAGCTTGTGGATTTAGGCTTAAGAGCTTCATGAGGACTTCGGGCTTTTTGAGCTTGTACGACTTTTGCGAATGGAGGGCGTGAATCACAGGTACAGGTACATCACACGTCACAAAAGGTAGATAACTATAAGCCTACACCTTAAAGCCCATTATCTACAGGGTGCTTCAACCCTAATCCACTTCCGGGCGCCCGCCGACTGTACAGCAAATGTTCGTCGGTGACTCAAAGACCTTTGTTCCGCATTTTGCTGTGTCTAGGGCTTCGGGGTTTTGACTCCCCATGCTATTTCATACTTCCTTTGGAAGAATACAGAGCTTTCTTGGGGTTAAGTTTTATCGATCGTGGCCTGTCATATTTCACGAGAAGGAAGCTGTCCCAACAGTGAATAGGACACACAGCCGCTGCACCAGCCAAGAAACCCATGCTATCATCCCGTCTCTTCGGTGTTCCAAAACTCGTCACTGAAGCCGACGTCAGCTGTGCTTGGTTTCTGAGGCTCCTTGTTGTGGAGCATGCCAGCGGCTCAGACCGGTGCAGGGGGTCTCCTGTTACTATAGGGCCTAAATAATTGCCTGTACTATTTGGGGGGTTCCTTATCATAATTATAGTATATTGGGCCCCAAAACCGTATTCTAATTATTAAGGCCTCTATATGCCTGCTGCGCGAAGTTCTGGCACTTCCGGAGGGTCGGGGTCGAAGTTGACTCGAGTCCTCACGAGGCCCAAGTTGACCGCAAAGTGTCTGATACGAGAATGGAGCTTCAAGCAGGCTGAATCCTAAACATCCGTAAGCCCGAAATTTGTTCAACATCATCATAATGTCTTCCCAGTATAGGTTATAGACTATAAGTCTTATCAACGGATGAATGGGAAGAAGGTCTCGACTACCTGGGCTAGCTCCTCCTGTGCCGCCTTGGCGCTGGAGTCAGAGCCTCTTAGAGACGCGGCCGGCGAGGCGAGACCAGGATTCGGAAATTTCCTTTTTTCAAAGGGGAGAAGGAGGGACAGGGGAGGGACCCTTAATGAGGACCCCTACCCCATAATGGGCTATATAATTGGTATATAATAGCTAGGTTAAGGGTATATACCTAGGGGTCCTGATTAAAGGTCCCTCCTTTTACCCTTTGATTTTTGCCACGTGGATGCTTCGAAAGGTAGCATCAGGACATCGGGAGCACTAGGAGCATGTGGAAGGGTGCTTCTGTCGTTTGTTGGGGGGTTGAGGCTTTTAGAGATTGAGGGTTTAGGTGTCTTTATGAAGCCTGTGGGGTGCTCACGGAGGAGTGGGTTTGGGAGGGGCCCTTGTCGCTAGAGGAGGCTTCGGCGACTCGGTAGTCGCACCCCGGGCAAAGAATGGCTTAAGGAAGCAGTGGGCACTGGTCCTGCCGAGGGGCGGAAGCCAAACGTTTGTTTCCGGCAGCTTTGCAAAGGCACATTGGGCTTGAGATCCCCTAAACCCCTGGAGCTTCAAGCTGGGGCCAATTTGAGGCCCTATTCTGCCGAGTGGGCGCTGGCCTAGCGCCGCAAGCATCGCGCAGTAGGCAACATGCAGGGTCTAAGCAGAAGCCTTTACCTCGAACCCTAGATTAAAGGAAGTCTAAAGTGTCTACAGAATCTTCAGTGCGAGCGCGCTCCAGTTGGCCCCTGATGTGGCTGTCCTCGACCTCGATGGCTCGGCTGCTTGGCTCGCACTTAGGTGGTGATTTGGGATAGATGACTCAGCTGTCCTATAGCTTTGCCGATCTGGCTGGAGGAGTTCGAGGTGGCTAGGTGCTTGCAGAAAAGGGTTGGGGGATGTCGACTGTGGCAAGATGGGTGCTATACCTCGAACAGCCCCTCTAAAACCGAGGCAAACCCAGACAACAACAGTAACGAGTAGCGCATGGGTGGAAGCCCAAAATCCAGAACCCCAACTACGTAGACCGCACATGTCAAACAAAACCTAAACCCGTGACAGAAGCCCTTCGTCAAGGATGCCTACCGCTGGTCGTGGGCTGAGAGTGGGTAGGGCTGGACAGGGCAGGACATTTGGATGTTTGGACATAGAATCCGAGTAGTCAATGGTAAATCGACCCTTTAAAAGGAAGAGTGCGAAGTGGGTATTGCCCTTTGCTGTGGGGCGGCTTGGCCGTCGCATGATTTTCTAAGGCAGTTGCGTGAAGGTCTTCAGCAGGGCCCCGTGTGATGCATAAAGCAAGACAGAATGCAGTGAAGACTCGCATCGGCGGAGCCCGGGAACGTGGATTCTGAGCGGCCCTTGAGTACTGGCCATTGAATGCAACGCTGCGGCTCCCTGGCCTGCAAAGGTTCACGAACTCCACCTTGTACAAGAGCCTCTCGCCTTTATCTCTTCGCAGCCGATTTACAGAGTTTAGTTTAGAGTTTGGAGGTTACTTGGGCTTGGTGTGAAGTGTGGCATGAGGTAAGCTGAACTTCGAGGACAATAGCGCTCTTTCTTGTATTGTCAGGTTATAGGGTGGGCTCGGCGGTAAAAAATAGAGACTTGATTTCAGCAACACAAGACATGCAGCCCAAGAGGTCAAGGTATGTAGGGCTCAAGGAGATTCTCTGCTCTTGTTCGGCTTCGATACTTCAGGCCTTCAGGATTTATGGTGCGCGGCTTTGGAGATTCCCTGCAGATGTTGGCTCAGTCCTCTTCCAGTTGTGGCAAGTGTGGTTTCTTCGCTAGACGACGAAGATCGCTGTTTGCTCGCACACTGCAACATCAAGAAACTCAAGGCAACTTTGAGAACCCGAAACAAGAACTGGAAGCCAGCTCGTAGAACCGACCGTCAAAGTACACAGCACCAGAGACCTCGTCAGGCATGTCCGAGTTGCGAGAGCGTAAACCCATGCCTGCCTTGTGCGAGTGTGTGAGTCGAAACCCCTGTGCACTATCCGAGTGTGAGCGCCGAAACCCCTAAAACCCCTAAAACCCCAAACCTGGTAACGATGGGCTTGCATGGGACATGAAGAGCTGAGGATACATGGCCATGGTCTTTGCGCGCAACTCGCTGTGCCAAGTCCCAGGCGCAGGGTCGAGGGCAAAGCCCCGGGTTGAGAGGTTGGGGTTTCGGGGTTTCGGGCTTCAGACTGCGAAGCTTTACGGCCTTTGAGTTTCAGGAGTGAAGAAGAGGTGTGTAAGGGGTCTTCAGGTTCGAGGTTGAATTTGAGCTTCCATCAGAATTTTCTGCACACGTCGACCTCTGAGAGGGATTATCCCAGCGAGTTCTTTCTGCCATAATATAGGGGCCTAAATCATTACCAATACTATGTTGGTGTTCCTTATTATCAATATAGCATAGTGGGCGCCAAAACCCTATTATTCTTATTATTACAGCCCTAAACTGGCTGCCTGACTGGTGAGCAATGTGATTCCTGGCAGAGTCCCGTTCACACTAACCTTATGAGCCGAGTCTAGCTTTATCCATGCCTTTGCATTCCACAGCATATCCATGGGCTATGGAACCCGGGATGCGTCGAACATGTGAAGCGAGGCTGTTCATGAGTGCATCATTGCACACGTATACATGGCATGCATATGTACGAGGGCGCATCATATGTACCAAGCCGTGTTGAGGTCTTTGTAGAGAACCCCTGGGCCGGGCGAATCTTTTGGGAAATTCGAGGGCTCCTGCTTCAAGAGACCGTTGTTGGGATGGCGGAAAGGTTGTACGAAATGCTTCCAGAGAGTTGGAGAGTTTCCGAGAGAAGGGGTCTCCCTGTCAGCGGCTCCGACTATTGATAGGGCTTGCTGTGCCCAGATCCAAAAACCTTGCATTGAAGAATACCGAATGCCCCCAGTGCCTCGACCAAGCGAAGCACCCGAATGTGTGTGTGTGTGTGTGTGTGTGTGTGTGTGTGTGTGTGTGTGTGTGTGTGTGTGTGTGTGTGTGTGTGTGTGTGTGTGTGTGTGTGCGGGTGTGTGTGTGTGTGTGTGTGTGCGTGGGTGTGTGTGTGTGTGTGTGTGTGTGTGCGCGCGCCCGTGTGTGTGTGTGTGTGCGTGTGCGTGTGTGTGCGTGTGTGTGTGTGCGTGTGTGTGTGTGTGTGTTGTGTGTGTGTGTGTGTGTGGGGTGTGTGTGTGTGTGTTGTGTGTGTGTGTGTGTGGTGTGTGTGTGTTGTGTGTTGGTTGTGTTGTGTGTTGGTTGTGTTGTGTTGTGTTGTGTTGTGTTGTGTGTTGTGTTGTGTGTTGTGTTGTGTGTTGTGTTGTGTGTTGTGTTGTGTGTTGTGTTGTGTGTTGTGTTGTGTGTTGTGTTGTGTGTTGTGTTGTGTGTTGTGTTGTGTGTTGTGTTGTGTGTTGTGTTGTGTGGTGTGTTGTGTGGTGTGTTGTGTGTTGTGTTGTGTGTTGTGTTGTGTTGTGTTGTGTTGTGTGTGTGTGTGTGTGTGTGTGTGTCTGTGTCTGTCTGTGTGTGTGTGTGTGTGTTTGTGTCTGTCTGTGTGTGTGTGTGTGGGTGGGTGTGGGTGGAGCAGTACAGCAAGGCCCCTAGCCCCCACTTGAGTATCAATGGTTACATATTGGGTTTAGGGTTTCATGGCTTACAGGCCAGGCGACCCCTTTTAACGAAGTGGCATAGACTTTCGGAAGTCGTCCCGGAACGCTGAGAAGCGCTGAGTCCCCACAGGCCAAGGCTTCGTGCTGCCAGTTCTTGTTTGGGCGACTTCGGCTGCGGAGCCTTGGGGTTTAGGGGGTTTGGGGCTTAGGGTTTCGGGGTTAGAGTCTAGAGATCGGGCATGTACAAGTCTGCGCAAAAGAGTCTAGAGATCCATAGGAAGCCTGCCTCACATTGATCTGCAGCTGATGCAGAGAACTAATCCCAAACTGCCAAGGTCCACAATCCACGGGCCTGAATAATTAGTATCGCGATCCTTTTGTAAACAGTCACTATACGACTTTCTGTATAGCTATACGATAATGTGCTCCAAAATCTGTTGTCCAACAGAAGAAACTCCGAAGACTTGAAACGGCTGACTTGAGAGCCCAATTCTACCGTCGGGGTTTAGGGTTCAGGGCTTGCGGCCCTCGATCCCCAATTCCGGCAAAACCTTGAGATTCTTGAGAACCCAGGTCCGTCAGTGTCTCTAGGTCAAGTCTTCCACAATAAGTGTCTCTGCGTCTTCCAAAATCCTCTTTTGCCAATGCTGTTAGCACGAGCGGACACAGTATGACACTTTGCTTGCTGTAACCCTAAACCGTCAGCTCTTATAGCGGACCCTGAGCACTTTAGGTGGCAGGGAGGGCTTTCACCCGAATTGTAGCTTCCTGTTCCAAGCCTAGTCAGTACTGCGGCCATCTGCAAATCCAGGTAAGGCTGAACCCAGCAATCCCGAGCCCCACATCCCGTAGGCTTCTTGTGGTTAGAGCCAGATAGGAATAGGATAATCCGATTTGATAGTGAGGCTTACACAGGCTTTCGTTCAGTTGCCTTTGGCCAGGAAAGGAAACCGCGCCGCAATGCAGCTTGCGAAAGAAACTGCAAGCACCAACGTACCACCCGCAATGCTGGAACCCTCATCTTACAAACTCGACTTGTGCTGCAGGAAGCATTCGCACACCCCCAAGGTGAAGACTGCCGAGCAGCTGATCAATCGCCCCGTCAAAGAGGGCCAGGAGATGTGCAGCGAGGTGGGTTTAGGATGCAGGGATTGGGTCTTCGTTTGCGGTCATCCAGAAGCGCTTTTTCGGTAGAGTCCTCTTCTGCACTAAGGCTTACAGTTTGGAGTTGCATTAAGGGTTGGGTTTTGTTCGAAGCTTGAGACGAGGAACTGGGCTTTCTGTGCCTGGCGGGCGGGCCTTGAATGGGATTGATAACTGTTCCGCACTTAAACTAAACGCGGACTTCATTTCATTTGTCTTTACAGCAGTCGAGAAGCAACTCGATGCGTACTAAGTCGCCAAGCTAGTTTGGGCTTTGATGAATTGACTATCTCCACCATCATTGAACAGTATGAACATGACCTACAGTATACCCTAAAGAACCCTGAACATTCGAGTCGAACTCCCAAGATCTAATACAAGTAACCTCAGATCTGCAGACTGCGAGTTGCAGTCCAACCCCCCAAAGCCCTAAAGTCCAAGACCCCAAGCAGAGCCTAAATCGCCCGGCAACCTCGAAAGCCCAAAAAGCCCTTGAAGTGACCCTGAGGCCTAGAAGCCTTCCATAGAGAACCCTTCTACAAACCCCATAGTAATTATAGAAGCCTAGACAATTACCTATATATAGGTAGTTGTCAAAATTGTGGCACCTTTTTAGGTCCCTTAAATATCAGGTGCCGTATTATAATAAGGACCCAAAGAGGGACCATAATTTCGACAACCATCCATATATATATATATATATATATGTATGTATGTATGTATGTGTATATATTATATATATATATATATATATATTATATATATATATATATATATATATATCCTAGTATTGAGGCTTCATAGAACCCCAAAAGGTCCTCAAGAGCCAGGAGAGAGATTGGTTTCGTGAGATGCTCGCCGTCCACTTGGCGGCGGCCTCCGCAACGCGCCGCGCCGTGCAGAAGCGGGGAGGCCGGCTAGGTGAATCGAGGGGGCTGTATAGGGACAGACGGTTTAGTCTTACCTACGGTTTAAGGCTATGTAGGGTTTTAGAACATTTAGTTTGGGATTGTATGGCTGCAGCCGGAGTTCTGGAATCAAGCGGAGCAAGTAAATTCAATCCTGGCTTGATGTTGATTTCTAACGACCCAGCAAAATGTAATGCGCACACACGCACACACACACATGTGTATCTTGCGCTTGGTTCTCATTCAGTCTTACTGTCGGCATTGAACCGCCAGACAAGTTTCGCAAACTGAACCCGAAAGCAGCAGCTCTCAAGCGCAAGTCATAGAGCGCAATGCTGAACCACCGGAAACCCAAATCTATTCTTCTGGCAGTCCTCGGCCCGGAGCTCAGAGCTTGATATGAAACCCATATGACATCTTAAGCCCTGTCAGTCCTAAGCAACAAAGGCTGCTAGACCCCGAATCCTAAACTCTAAGTTCTATACCTCTTATATCCTAAACTCTAAATTCTATAACTTTTATATCCTGAACTCTATAGTCTATACCTCAAATTAAGTTCCAAAGCCTAGACCGCTCGTTTGAAGGCTCGGTTGACACCCTGGCCACTGCGCTTGCTGCGCCCGACCCATCTGCCGGGCTGCTAACTGAAGCAGATGGTGGCATGGAAGCAGTAGTATTCGGGGTTTGGACTTGGCTAGCTGTTCTGAGGTTATGTCGGCTTAATGCCCGGTTGGAAGGTTTGTAAGTAGAACAATGCGACAAGTTTGCGGTAGCCTCTTCTGCTCTTCGGCTTGATGTTGCATCGAGAGGCCGAGGGAATACGGACAGAATGAGCTGTCATCATCTTGCGCACACATACACATATAAAGCACACAAGATTGCCAGAATTTCTACAAGCTTGAAACCACCAGTGAGAACAGTAGACCCTGAGCCGTCAGGTGGTCCCCAGTCCGTTTGCCTGGCCCTGGCCGCCATTTGCTTCAGCGAAAACGCGAAGTATCTGTGGACTAAGAGAGGTTTGGAGAAACCCGGCGTGCAGCTAATGTATGGGCCTTCATAATTAGAATAGGGCTCCTTAGGGTTTGGGGGTATATGACGGAACCCCCGCATAAGCCAAGTCTTTTGTGAAGGCCCCTACATTAGCAGTTCAGCGTTTTCCGGCTCGTATCAGTGTATCAAACTGCGGTTTCGGAGCGTTCATGGAGGGATTTGGGCTCAAAGGTAAGATAGTAACCCGGAGTTTGGGTGCAGGAAGGCATGAGATCTGTGGCACAGGGGCCTCAGCATCCGAGCACGAAGCCAGAAACACAGCACTCCGGCCCCTATCATCGAGATGTAGTTGCCATGGAACCGGGCGAAGGGAGTTTTCGTAGGATAGTGCTTTCCGGCTGTCCAAGCTTCGGGGACAGAGCAAGAGTTGAAAAGGAGGATTCACCCAGTGGTTGGGGCTTGCGAGACTTGGATGCGGAGAAGGAGAGCCTTTAGCTGGCTCCGGCTCCACGACACTGCAACCACCATACAGAAGCAAATCTCTGGTTCGCTTCAGAGCAGATTTAGTTACGGGAGTGCAGGATCGACCCTTGTGGGGATTCAAACGGAGCAAGTGCTTCCCATGATTCGTAAAGATAGAATCCAGAAGCTGGACACATAACTCCCAGAGAGTTCTCCCAGGTGTATGCTGCTACTACGAATAACCTGTTAGCGCAGCTCAGCCGGTGCTATTATATACGACCCCACATGACTATAGCAGTATTTCTGCCTGTCTATGCACTCTTGCCACCCATACAGAGGTTTGCACGTTTGTGCCTTGATGTTTCGCTTGTTGCGCTGCTTCGAGTGTCCGTTTGACCCATGGACCCCCACCGTCCGAAGTGGGAGTTTCCGAAAATAGGGAACCCTAATATAGTACCCTAGATAGTAGGATCCTTATTAGAAGGATCCCAAAATAAGGTACCCCTAATCTTTCGGAAACTCTAAACCCTTATAGGGCCCTTTAAAGGAACCCTTGTAGTACCCTCATAGTAACCCAGGATCCTTATTAATTATAAGGATCCCCAACTAAGGTGTACCCCCTAATTTTTCGGAAACCTCCAAGTCGCCTCAGCAGAAAAGCAGCGAAGGAGAGCCAACTCTCTGTCCTTGCAGCGCTCGCATCTCAGATGTCCCTGAAGACTTGCAGCTTCGAGGGCTCCTGTGAGGTTCAGGGCTCAGTTTTTAGGGTTTAGGGTTTAGGGTAGGGTCTAGGGGTTTAGGGTTTAGGGTTTAGGGTTTAGGGGTTTAGGGGTTTAGGGTTAAGGGTTTAGGGTGCTTGGTTTAGGGTTCAGTTTTTTCGGGGTTTCGGGGGCAGCTATCTGGAGCTTAGGGGTGCTTCGAGGCTTTGCGAGACAGGCTTCGAATATCAAGGTCTGAGGGCTGTCCGACTAATATAGGGGCCATAATAGCTGCCAATTCTGGGGGTTCCTTCTTAGTCTTATTGTTATAGTATAATGGGCCCCAAAGCCCTATTCTAATCATTAAGGCCCCTATATTTTCCGACTCTCCACCCGGGCTCCCCCGGCTGCAAACTCCCCCCGGCCGAACCAGAGGACCGAAGTCGTTTTCAGAGTCCAGCGACATTTCTGCTTCGAGCTACAAAGCAAGAGCCTGGGGGTTTCATGTATAAGACTCATTCCATCATCATGGTGTTCCCATTGGACCCTGGCTACAGCCTAGAGCCACGTTCCGAAGGTGCGCCATCCCGGAGCTTAGAGCGCAGCTCCACCGGCGGACTGGAGGAAGAATTACTGCTTTTCATGTTTGGGGGAAGGAGGGGGGTCCGTCAGCCTGGGTAAAAACCAAAAGGTTGCGGTTAAGACTTCTGGGAGCTGAGTCCCTCATCGGTGACCGGGCATGCCCCCGGTAAGGACCTTGCTAAACATGTGAGGGTGGAGCCTGATTTTTTGTGCTGCTTACGGATCGAAGGTGAGGTGTTCTAAATTCTAACCGGCCATAACAAACCTGCAATGCTGGCAAAGTCTTTGCCAGGTAGGAGGCACAAAACACCTTGAACCCTGCACCCTGAACCCTAAATCCTGACCCACAAACCCCTAAACCCCATACGCCCTAAAACCGCAAACCCGAAACCCCCAAACCCCTAAACCCTAAACCTCGAAACCCTATAAGCCCTATTCAAACAGTAAACCCTAAACCCCTGAACCCTAGAAGCCCTGAAACCGTACACCTTGCGAAACCGCTCCCGCCAGGACGAGGCCTCCTGGCCGAAACGACTCCGGCGATTGGCTCTCGCAATGCTTGCGGAGGCGAGGCGAAGGTTTCGATCGCCTTAGACAACATACTTATGATGCAGTAATATACAGTTTGTATACATACATAAATACATACACTTCAGATTCAATTACATGTATATGTATGTGATAGTAATGTACCATAGTAGTGCTACTGTGGTATAAGTATGTATAAGATACTCATCGTGCCAACAATAAGACCAGTAATATCAGTCGCAGTGATCCGTGCCCATCTTAGCTCGTGGGACTTCACAGGATACAGCACTGCCCCCCCCCCCTGACTTCTGGGCTAAAAGCTTTCCAGCAAACGGCCTCCTGTTGTGACAAGTTTTGGGTTGAGGCTCAGGATCTGTGACATAAACGCGAAGCAGAAATTCTGGATGTCCAGTCGGAGCCCAGGCCATTGCACTGCTCTAACATGGCCTGGGCTTGTGGTTTAGGGTTGCATTTTATCATCTGTTGTTCTGTCACAGGGGCAGAGGGCCATGTCGCTCGAATTCTCCGTTCATGAGCTTCCCGAAGGCATATGGCAAAAGATATTCTTAAATCCCGCTCTAAACCCTAAACCTTCTGTATAACCTAAAAGACCTTAAATTTGAGAATCCTTTTACGGATCCGTTTTTCCTTGGTGTCCTTGTCTTGGTGCTCCTCATCTTTGCTGAGACTGCCATGTGGCACGCAATGGATACGAAAGGACAGCTTTCCCCGATCCAGGTACATCCCCTTCTTGTCTTGCCCTTAACCATAGTAGGTTACACTCACAAAACACGTTGAAAATGAGTCAGGCGCTTGCATTAGCCTTCGAGAGTCTGAGGCGGTGTCTCGCGGATGCCGTCGGCTGGTTCGGTCCCTCTGTACCTCGGTTGCCTGATCGTACGTTTGGATCGGCTCGATCAGAGTTTGTAGTTGCTGTCTGACAATGTCGTTGAGCTATAATTACGTTTCCGTGAGTCTGTAAGTAGATATGCAGCCATCTCGATCATGATACCGGCCCGTATGACCGGGCTTGAAGAGAACACGCAAGGAACTAGTGGTGAAACTGATGGTGTCTCTGCTGAGGGCCATAGTGTTAGGACTATGGAAGCGAGGTGGAAGACGACGGCGGACAAGACGACGATTGCGACCGCGACGACATACGACGGCCACGACGACGAAGACCAAGGCGCCAAGACGACGTCGGCGTCATGATGCTGGCGACGATGGTTGTGATGATGCTATACTGGTGATGCTGATGAGGACGGCTCTCATGAATATGACGAGCACAAATCTGAAGATAAATGTTACGAGCATGATGGTGACGACGATGCTGATTTTGATGACGGTGATCCCGGGTTGTGTTGTGTTTGATGGTTGTGTTCTGGTGGAGACGATGTGACTCATGGTGCTACTGAAAGAAACCTCGAGTGAATCTGGTAGGCTTGCCTGCAAATGTGTATAATTGTTGCGGCGGCTGTGTTCTTCGCCAGTGTTTCGGGTGTAGCGCAAGAAGATACTTTAGGATGTTCGAATCAATTGAAAGTCAGGGATTCGATTTGCTGAGATGTGACTCCTGGTTCCCTTGTGTTCCAGCATTGAGGGTGCTGCTAGCCGTTCTCTTTCCACAGCTTGGGAGCAGGCAAGAAAGGGCTGCAACCGAAATTCTAGCCCGAAACCTTGAAGCTTCCGAACAGCTCTGAAGTCAGTCAAAGTTAAGCTGTTGGGATTGGAAAAAAACCCTAAACCCTCAAGGGCACTGCCAGGTACGACCTCCAAGGAGAACCCCGCTCCGAGCGAAGATGTTTCCCGGCATGCTCGAGTCTTCAAGTTCAAAGGCAAGCTTTAGGGAAGTTCCGACATTCCAGAGTTTAAATACACAAGGCTTGGAGCTTTCCGGGTTTTGAAATCTCAAAAAAGATGCGGCAATTTCCCGACTTGAGACTTTGAAGCTTGGACATGTCATATGTCTTTCTCGTTGCCGCCTCGCATCACAAAGCCGCATTACACGCCTCAAGACGAAAGCTTCCATTCCTGCCCGGCTTGGACCTTCTGGGACCCCTCATGGACCGGCTGCGCCGACCGGAATCGTTCGATGATGTGTGTGCAGAAGGGCTGTTCCGTGCCAGCACTGCCCCGGCGATCCTTGCCCGGTGGGGAGCCATCTTCATGCACGGTTTGCCAGGTCTCCTTGGAGCCGGTGGCTTTCGCCCTGAAAAGATACCGACTAAGCAGGAGGTGCTCCAAGCTGGATCGTGCATCTTCGAATCGTCTTTCCACGCGGAGCACGTGGACGTGTTTGTAAGCCATCGCTGGGGGTCTGCCCGCTGGGCAAAGTATCTAGCACTGTGCCTCTACTTGAACCTGCCAGCAGCTGTCGGGAGCTCCCTGACGACCTGGCTTCTGGCCGCTGCCGGCATGATCGCATACACCAACCATACAGGTAATCTCCTGTTGCTGCTCGTTTTGGTTGGTTTTCCCAGCGCAGTTTTTGTTATTGTCTTCTTGTTTGGCCATCACGTTGTACATCGCTTGCGGCCCATTTCAATGTGGGTGGACCGAGCGTGCATTCACCAGACAGACCACGACTTCAAGCATCGTCAGATTGAAGCACTCCCCGTCTTCGTCGCACGGGCCTCCTCCATGCTTGTCCTTTGGGATGACGAATACTTTCGGAGGCTTTGGTGCCCGTTAGAACTGGCTACCTTTGCACGGTACGGAGGAGCTCGCAAGGTTGATTTCTTACCGCTTTGGTTGGCCCCTTGGCTGTTGTCAACAATCGTGGCCAATTCTTTGGTGGCCGCAGGCGTGTGCATGCTGAGTTATGGCATGCCTGAAACCTTCGCCGCCTCTGTCACAGCAGTGTGTGCCAGGATGCTACCACGGAGTGTTATTGATTCGACATCCGGAGCGCTTGGCACATATGTTGCGTGGGCTCTTTGGGATGGGTTGGCTGGAGCGATGTTGGGCACATTGGTATCGATTCCATGGACCATCGCTTGCAAAGCTAAGCTGCAAAGCCACGCGCTGATGCTCGAGCAGATGGCTTGCTTCGAGTGCCGGGCGGCACAATGCACGATCGAGGCTGACCGCGTACTTGTGGAGCAGCAGGTCCAAAGACTTTTCAAGCCGCGACATGACGGAGAACCTGTGGTTCAGACGACTTATTGTTCTCGAAATGACGAAAATCTACAGAGAGATTCCTCTACATGCCAGGCGGATCCCGAGACAGCGTGGATCCGCCGCAACAGTGTCACTAGTACCCAGGCTGATCAGGATGCGCTGGATGCTTTCAACAGCTACCTTCGTGGTCCACTTCGCTGTTGGGTGATGGAGAGTGTCGGAAGTCAGCTGCACGTGCCCTACCGCACATGCTTGGTGGCTACTCTGCCCATTATCTTCTATAGCCCTGTGAATATTCTCCAATGCGACGACGATTGCAGATCCCGCTACGGGTTGCCCTCTCTTCAGAAAGCCGTCCTCGCGGAGATGCTAAGTTGGCTCGTCGTCGGCTTGTTGGTTTTCCCCACCTTATATCCCATTCTTCTTCGGATGCTGAAGCATGTCTTCACCGTCCAACAACAGACATTGCAATTCGTCTTGGCAGCCCTCAGTGCCATTCTGACCTTTACGTACGGCTACCTGTGCGCTGGAACGGTGTTTGATCTTGCGTATGGCATGTTCCAGCTGGGAGGGATCAGCTTGATGCTCTACGTCATGCTGTTAATTCTCCTCCTCCTGCAGCTGCGGTGCCTCTTCGGCACGGATGGTGCCGTTACAAGCGTTTCGGTGGATGGATCGTACCGGATTCTGCATACAGCAGACACCTTCAGCATCTAGTGTTTTACTCGAGCGTGGAGTTCAGATTTCGAGCTGGGAAGCTTGTTCCTAACCCTACAATGCCTGTCGGTTCCCCTTGTGCCTTGGCATGACATCGGTCCAGCAAGACCAGTAGCAAGTAAGGGTACCTCTTGAAGATCAGGACGCCGCTGCTTGAAGACATTATTTCTGTTAGACGCCCCAGGATAATTCGCGAAGAGTCGAGAACTGGCCGGTAGAATCAGTACCTAAAGGGTCCGAAGTACTTATATAGTAATCGTAGAATGTAGGGTTTCCTTTGCAAACAATTACTACTATTATTATGGTTTGGGGAAGTATCTCCCAGAACAGTACCTGGGACCCTTTGAGTTAAATGGGCGGATCGAATCTGTTGCGTCCCTGAACCCGTAGTGAGCCGGCTCGGCGGTACACGTGTCACCCCTCGTTTCTTGGATTTCACGTAGAGCCAGGAGATTCCGAGGCAGTCCTGTCGAGAAACGAGGAAAAATTGGTAGGTCTGCGCATAAAAATTTCTCGGTGGCCCAGACAATTGGAGCCACAGAACTTGATCCTTTATCTTCCCGGACTCACGCAGAACAGGGTACTACTGTCATAGGCTTTTGTGCCACTGTGGGTTTGGAGTCCAGCATACGCACACTGTTGCTACTGCTCTGACTGCTAATGATGTTTGATATATACACACACACATATATATATATATGCACATATTCCGAATTTTGAAGTTTGTATTTGCACAAACATGTTTGCACAATGGTTGTATCTGGTAGTAGACACACAGTGACACACAAGTTTTTTGTAGTTATTTCTGTAGTCACACCACTGTTGCTGCCATTATCCGTTAACATGGTTCTTGACTGAGTGTCATAGCCTCCAGACCTTTTCAGCATGCAGGGTTGCGACTTAGGACGTGCTCAAGGTTCACGCACTTTCCATGCCGATGCTGCAGATCGGGACATGTGTGTCACTGGTACCGAGTGCAAACTGATGCAGGTTTCGCTTACAAACTATGCCACTCCAAACTGTCATAAACCGGACCTGTGGCCCATAAGACCACTTACCTTTTTGAGAAACTATATTAGTATATCTATATATAAACCATAATACGGAAAACTAAAAAGATAGTTCTTGTCAGCTACAGGGAGACCCTACAAGCTTGAAGCAAAAGTTCAAAACACAGTTCTGTCGCCCAGCTGAGGAGATGTCCAAGAAGCTTCTCTGGGATGCATTGGGCCGTCAGGTTGCAACAAGGACAAGTCTAGGGGCTTTATAGTGGTAAAAGGGCACAGGATTTTGAGCGCCGCATGTTCGGCTAAAGGCTTGTGCTAGAATGCTAGAAGGCTCATGTCAAGTTTGCTGGCTTAATGACTTCATGATTATATCAGAGTTTCTGCCGACAGCTCGCAAACCAGCACAACACAGCGGCACCACTATAGGGCCGGGGGTAATCGGTGGAGTCTGCCTTAGCTCTGGTCCGGGAGGACCGAACCATCCCTAAACTTCTAGGGGTTCAGGGTTCAGGGTTTAATCCCCTTGTGATGGTTCACGGTTTAGGGGTTAGGCTGATATCCCTTATAAGGTTGAGGGGTTTAGAAGGGCTTATCGAGGTTGAATTGACTCTACACCGCAGAGGTTAAAGTAGCTTGTCCGCGTAGAAGCAGAGGTCCCTAACCCCGGGGATCTTGTGAACAGGGTTCCGTTAGGGGTTCTGTTAAGGTTCCTTTAAGGGCTCTTTTTGAGGTTTCCTTCAAGTGTTCTTGTAGGGGTTGCTTTAAGGGCTGTGTCAAGGGTTCCTTCAAGCTTCTGTTCAGGGTTCCTTTAAGGGTTCTTTCAAAGCTTCCTTCAAGGCTTCTTTAAGCGCTCTCTTGAGGGTTCTGTCAAGGTCTTTTTCGAGCCCTGTGTCTGCATTTGACAGCTTCCTTCTCAGCAGGTTATACGACTAGTGGAATTAGTGGTGTTGTTAGCAGTGCTGCCATTTCTCTCGTTGAATGTCACTCAACAGCCCTGACCCGTCCTGAAATGCCTCGCCTGGGTTGTCAGAGTTGCGAGCGCCGAGACCGTAAAGCACTAATGCCGACCGTTAATGGGTATGGAAGGAACTTACGGTTCAGCAAAGTAACCACCTTCAGCAGTTTTCGGCTCATTGAACCGAACCCTCTATAAACCTCCAGATGCGCGGGTGGAAAGCTTGAAAGACCTGTTGGGATTGCCGCCATGAGGTCTCGACGAGAGCTCCATACCGGATCTTCAGCCGGAAGGTGAGAAGGCGGGGCAAGCGAGTTTGTTTAGGGTTTAGGGTTTAACCATTGCCCGCTCTCCGGCCATGTTTCTAGATGCTCGAAGTCAGGCTAGGCATGTAGCATTGACAACATAGTCTCGCACAGGCCTCGGCAGCGCAAGCGGCAGCGTAAAGCCTCAAGCGAGCAAGTTTTCTGAGGTGCGACCTCTGAGGAGAGCAAGACTGAACTTGGCTTTCCATGACCTTATGCGGGCCGCACAATGAGATAAATAATGAATGCCTAAGGACCTATCATAACGATGCGACGGGTCAAGCGTGACACGAGGGTGGGTTACGATGACAAGCACACGATACGCCACCAACCGCACACGCGCCACAGAGGTCAGCGCCACAGGGACTAACTAGTCCAGGCCGTTGCACCATGAAGCAAAGCGAGCATCAGTCAGGCAACAGTTCCTACATTAATATGTGATCACACGAGCTGCTGAGATCCTCCCTCCCAGCCATGCAGGTCTGCGCCATGTGGCAACACACAGTCCAGACTACATAACACACACACATCGATCTAAGATGAAATACCTACAATACGCCATATCATGTGATATACCGTATTATGCAGAATATAATGTAATTTAAGAGTTCGTACACACACACATATATATATATATATATATACACACACATCAATTTATTGCACTACGCGGTTTTCACCCCCGGGCCCCCCATGTCAGGAGCGACTGAGATACCTAAACCGGCAGTCAGAAGAGTTCCATTTGCATGTGAGGGTTGTCAGCACTCACAAAACTGAGGGCCCCAAAAGGAAGACTGAACTGCAGCAACCTCCAACTCTCTAGAACAGCCTTCTTCGAGAACTTGTTATAGGAATTGGTATCTGCCCGCGGAACTTCGCGCTTCATCTTGCCTCCAGGATCCACCAGAGTTGGCAAAGCTGGAGTCTTGACCAGCATTTGTAGTTTGTGCAGGGTTTAGGGTGGGCTGGGGGTAGTTTGTAAAGGAGCGTGATAGCAACCTCGGCATTGCCTGTGTAGCGCCTTTGGAGCAAACGAGCGGCTGGAACATTCGGTTTAGGGTTTAGAGTTTAGGGTTTCGAGTGAAGTCTCGATGTGTGGTCGTAGGGGCTAGAAGGCAAAGCCCACATGACCAGGGAAGGCTGCCTTCGAATATGACCAGTCGGTCTTTCACCGTAACACGCAGCAAACTGGAATACAAGTGAAAGTTTGGGAACTGAAAAAGCAGCTGTGGCTCTTGTCTACACCCTTCAAGCAGGAATTGAAAGCCTTGGAAGGACATTGAAATCGGGTTCCAGATCGGAGACAGAAATCGGGTCTTCAGATCCGGGGCATTAGCCGATCACTAGGCTTCTCCAGCTCTTTTTCGGTGTCGAGTGTTTAAGGGTTTAGGGTTTGAGGGTTTAGGGTTTTAGGGTTTATTCAATTCATCCTGAATCCTCAACCGTGAGAAAGCGCTTGCCCTGCAGGAAGGGCATTCAGACGAGTGTGACCTCGACAGGGCAAAGCGAAGGAGCTCCAGGGCTTTCAATTCACCTAGAGGCTTGAGTAGCTACTCATGTTATTGCTTGGGGGTCCTGCTTCAAATTACATGGCCCCAAACCCTGTTCTAACCGCTTAGCCCTGAGCCTCCGACTGTTAGTAGGTGGCTCAGCATGTGTTCTTTTGGCAGCTCGTGCAATTTGAGCTCTGGGGTTTATGTCTCGCGTTGACGGACGATCTAACAAGCTGACCGGAGACTGAGCAATGGTTTCAATGAACGTGTGCTGCAGTGCCGCGTTCTGAGTCAGGATTGCCAGATGCTCGTATAGTACTGACCGGCAGAAGTCACCATGGCCGCTGTAGAAACTCTTACATAGCAAGAAGTGACGATGTTGAGGGCTTTCAGCTCGGAGTATTCGAGCTTCGGCGGAGCTGCGGATTCAATGTGCAAGTTCTTTGCAGCATATGTGCGAGGCGTGTTGTGCTACTAGCTGAACAGCTGTGGATTCTTCGCACCCTGTTCCCGATAGTCCTGCTATGCGAAATCACAGAAGGGGCATGGGCCGAGAATGCCAAGCGCCCTTCTCAACCTCCAACCTAACCCCTTAACAGCCGATTGGCTCAAGACCTCCCTTTGATTAACCTTTTACTTGTTGGAAGGAGTGCGCTGCTTTTCGCGCCTCAGGGCAAGTACTTCCAGGACCTTGAATGCTTTAGGAATGCAGGTTTGGGGCTGCTTGCCAGACACGTACCCAGGATAGAAGTTTTCAAGACCTAAGAACCGTATGGAACCCAAATGTAGAACCTCTATCGTGCAACCCTTGGAAGACTTTGTATAGAATCCTTAGGACCTCGGACTGGAACGGGCAAGATTTGAGCTTGTCTAGAGTTGAAAGGTTTCGAGATTAAGCTTTCCAGAACACCTTGAAGCCGTGTGAGTGTACTTCTTTAGCGGGGATGCAAAAGGCTTTAAGGTTTGAGGTTCTACCCGTATCTTCCAGTCCAGCTTGTCATGGAGGGCTTGATTTGCTTTGTTTAATACCAGGGATGTTCCCGAGTTAAGACATACACTGGAAGAATCTGGCTACGAGATGATTTGGGAGGCCGGCCTTACCAACTGCACACCGCAGGGAATTGCAACTTGGATGTCAATCCATGTGTTGTGGCTTGTCCTCCAAAGGCCACACCCCAATTCACAATAAGGTTGCTTGTTTACAACTAAATACTGCATAATACACCGCAAACCCTATTCGAGTTACCAAGCCTGAGCTGCATAAACGTAAAACCCTAGTTCTTTGCGCTGTATCGTTGGCCCTTGGCCACGTATGGACGGCCAAGAGGCTTTTTGGATCTCGTGGCTTGCTGCACATGCATCCTGAATTGGATCCTAAGCTTGCCTGCTTAACTGTAGCTAGAGCACTTTCGGCAGAATACTGCTAGCACAAAATCGCTTGCATTCTTCGCACAGACACTTGTCTCACCAACGCCATCATCACCACTGGGAGCATCACCATAGTGTGCTTGTTTGCTGGCTCGCACAGTGATATCAATAAGATGACCAATACCATCATCCTCAACACCAGGGTCATCATCGTCATTAAGCCACCGGAGCAGGTTTGGTTTATGGTTGCGAAGGCCTCCCTGGTCTCGTGCTGGGCTCCAAACCCTGCGCTAGAAGCAGCAAAGCTCTAACTCTAACCACACGTCCGATAGCCTAAAACATGTCAACAACAAATACAACAGAAAGCCCTCAACAAGGTGGGCTCCCTGATGATCCACATGGCCTGCCGACTGGCCAACTGCTCAGACGGCACGGAGGCCGTGTCGTTGCTTTGCGACCAGTGCCTCGTCTGCACCGTTTGGAGAGGTTTCGGAAGAGTTCGTTATGTCAGGGTTCTATGATGTTGTCATAGGCCTCGAGGCTCACGTCTCTACAAATATCAAAACCAGACTTTCAAACAGGATTGTAGTCTGAGACGGGTTCGTGCAGGAAAACGTTGCCGTTGCAATTCTTGCTGCTACCTTTGCCCATCGAAGCTTTGACCCATCATCCCTGAGGATGATGACGACAGTAGCAGGTATTGTAGTGATGGCAAATATGGCTACGATGATAGAGATGATTAGGGGCATCGCAGAGACGCGAAGAGTACGATTTCGATCGTAATCTTGAACCTGGTGGTGATGAGCACTTGTGTGTCATCACACCTCACCCTACCGTCATCATTGTGAACTTCGTTCCCGAGTAGTGTATTGATTGCTTCTGGTCGCAGAGTCCTTAATGTTGGAATCGCCCCACCATCCAAGGGGAAGCTACTCTACAGACATATTCCCGGACTTCTACAAGTTCTTCTCTCGTGAAAGCTGCAGCGCCATCTCTAGCATTCCTACCATGCCGGCTGTGACGACTATGGGCACTAACTCACAAACAAAAACATGCCTGCCTCGATCTTCAAACCACGAAGCATGGCGAGCCTTTCGATAGCTGCATCTGAAACTTCGAAGTCCGACGGCTTTGAGAATACCTTGCCAAGCTGTCTGTGACTGCAAGCTCGCAGCTCAAAGACCAAAACTACGGCAGCAACAACTACTACGTTCTGAAACAGGCTGAGGCCCCCCCCTCCCCCCCACAATTACGTAACCCACATTTACGTTACCGCCCGAAATCCCACAAGGTGTCCCGTTAGGCCTTACAAACAGTGAAGAGAGCCATTCCTAGGGATTTGCTAAATCCCGAAATCTCATCACCCAGGCTCTGGAAAAGAGACATCTCCATGAAGGCCTGCTGCGATGTTTCTCAGAGACAAGGTCTTGCTTTGATCGTCGGCAGCGCTGTTTCTATGATACTTGCATTGGTTGCAATGATTTGTGATGTTGCAAGGCAATTTCTCGGTTGATCTGACCGGGCGAAATCCAGACCTCGAGCCCTAAATTTACAACTAGAAGACGAGACCCAGTCCCCAGGGCCTCTGCGAAGCGCCCTCGCCGCTTTTGGCTTTGGGCCGACTCATGTGCCTGCGAACGCGGGTTGTCCGAAAAGGAACCTTCGAGCTTTACACTGGTTCCAAATAGACTTTATCTATACAAGTTTTCCCTCCCTCTTCTCGGAAGGTGAGCTTCAAGGGAGACTTTATCGTTTCCCACCAGCTCTCTGGACGGAGAGGCTTTGTGAGCAAATCCGCAAGTTGCGCCCATGTAGGCACCCATGCGATTCGCCCGAAACTCTTTAGATCCTGGCGGATGGCCGCCAAGTCGATCGAAAGCCTTTTGCAGGTTGGGACTCGCGGGACTCCGTCCCGGGTCAAATGATCATACAAGCTACGGCAGTCGCTCAGAAATCGAATCTGGAACCGAGTCGAGTTGCGAGCCAGCTTTCCGGTGAGCAGGGTCTCAAGGAACTTCGCGATGAAGTCTCCTGTTTCCGTTGCTGTCCCGCATGCCATTGTCTCTGCCGCAAAGGTAGAACGGCACACTCTTTCACAGGCCCCGCTCCGCCAGTCCAGGATGCTACCATGGCTCTCTTCACCGGAGAGAATCCTGTCGTCGGCCAACACATAGAGGCCGCCCAGCTGGGACGCAATGGTAGAGTTCGTCTTCTTCATCTTCGCCTCCCTTCTTGCTAGCGGACCATCCTGGAACCTCCCTTGTGAGTTCTCCTCGTCGGTGAGCTTGTAGAAGGGGTCCTCGTCGTTCTGCGGGACGTTGGCCCATCCGGCATCGTGGTAGCAAAGCAAGACGGCGCGATCGAGGTTCACGGGGAAGAAGGTCAAGCCCTCTTCCTTGTGTTCCATAGCCCGTCGAGCCAGTTGATTTGTGAATCTCACATCCCCAACCGTCGGAGACTTCTGGCATTGCTGGCACATGGAGACGCCGACCTGCAAGTCGGGACGTGTCTGACTCGCCATCCATGAGAGGGCGCCGATCAGCGACTGGTTGTCGTGCTTCTCGATCTCGTTGGCTTCGAGGTGGTCAGGACTACTTCGCTCCACATCGACCTGGAAGAGCCTCGTGTTCGCGTAACTCGCCTGGGTCACCTTGACGCGGTCCTCAAGGATCTCGATGAAGGACCCGACGTACTCGAACTTTTCCTCTTCCCAGTCTTGGATTGGGAACTCCGCACTTAGTCGCTCCTTCACCAAGCCGCAGAGTTTGGCGTCGCCGACCAGCAAAACATCATCGACATGGACACCCAAGTAGGCACTGGGAGCCTCAAGTTGGGGCTCTCCGTTCTCATCGTAACTCGTGACCTTCTGGACCATGAACACGCAGTGATCCAGAGTACTTTGGATCACCATCCATTCGGTGTCCCCGTCCCGGATCTTCATGTTCTTGAGAGTACGGTGGAATTTCGTCCACCATGCAGCCGGGGAGTCCACGAGGCCGAAGATAGGTTTCCGGATACGCAAGAGTTGCTCCGGATGGAGATCACCGAGCCCAGTCTTTGGTTGCCGTAGATAAAGTTCACGTTCCAAGTCTTCTCCGCACAGAAAAGCGGCGGTCACGTCGCCGGCGTATCCCTTCCACCCTTTGTCCAAGTTCGACGCGAGGATCTGGAGGAGCAGGTGTATGCCTTGGCGAGAAATCGTCGGCGCATGCGTAGGTAGTCCAGATAGGAGGTCGGGATCTCGGTGTCCCGCTATCACCAGTCTCGCCTTCGGTTTCCATCCCACGTCTGGGTTCTCCCGGCGACGAGACCAATGCTTGTCCCGATAAGCAAACCTGCTATTCAGGACCCGATCTGATCGTTCCCGCGCGATCCTCCGGCTGTCCTCGACGGAGAGTGGCTCGAGTGCTCCATGTTCACGATGCTCATCGTACTGCTTGCGTTCAGCCTGACGGAAGTTAGGCTTCTGGTCTTCGGGCACCATAGACCATGGAATCTCCTTCTCGAGGGCCTTCTCTCTTCCCCTAGGGGTCTTCGGGAGTTTCATCATGAAGGTAGCGTGGGGGTCGGAGTTCTCGAGGACCTCAGGGCCTTTTGTCCTGTGCCGCTTGGTGACCGGAGCAGGTGGGTCGCCATCCCTTCTCCTGCTGCCTTCTCCACGTTGGCGTTCATGATGGGGACCGTCAACGCCGTCTCCATCTTGGTGATCATCACCCGGTGGTAGTTCAGGATCTACATCCATCTCCTCGGTCTGGTCGTAGAGCTCCTCATCGCCGAAGTCCTGTTCCAGCAGCTTCTCTAAGTCTTCCTTCGTTGACCTGAGAGTAAAAGCCGCTCCCAGTTCCTCGGAGCTCGCGAGCCTCAGGTGTTCCGGGGCGACCAGATGGCAACGGCCAGAGAAGGACACCCAGTAGTTTGGCCCTTCTCTCCCGATCACAACTCCAGGCCCATGCCAAACCCAGTTCTTGTTGTTCTTGGGCTTCCGGTAGAAGAAGACGTGGCAGCCCACGTCAAGTTCGGGGCCTCCGACTCTGGAGCGCTGCAACAGACCTTTCCGGAGCTTCGCGTCGTTCCGGACTTTGAAGTAGGCTTCCTTGGCGGCGATCCTCACGGTGTGCTCCCTAGCACGCTGTCGGTCTCTGCTGATGATATGTTCCACGCGGTCATCCTGAAAGGAGTTGTGGACGTCCTCTGGGAGTCGAGGATCACGTCCCCAAACTGCTTGTGCCGGACTGAAGCCAGCATCCCTTCTCAGGGTGTTCATTGCGTTGTTCACGGCTGTGACCACCATGTTGGCCTCTTCTGACGTAACCGACCGCTCGTCGACCAAACGGGACCACACTTCTTTCCACGTCCGGATAGCCCTCTCAACTGTCCCATTCTGCCAATGTGCTTGACCGGCTATGGGCCGGATGTAGGAGCCATGCCACTCGCTGAACCTGGCCAGTCCAGCTTGGAGGCCGGATTCCAGATCCACTACCAGTGTTCCAGGGGCCCCAAAAGTGTTACTCCACAAAGCACAGAAAGAGTCCTCCATGGTCCGCGTGGAATGTCCTCGTAGCTCGCCTGCCAAAGCAAAACCAGTACCGACGTCGATCGCCATCATGAGTTCCACCTTCTCGCAGTCGTAGACGTAGAAAGCATCCACCGCGACCACTTGGTTGAACTCAAGTAAATTTGGCAGAGACGCTGGCTTGGGTGCCGCTCCTCTTTTATTCCGCTGACAGACTTGGCATTGAAGTCGCTTGCATGCGTCCACCACAACGGGGTCGGCGCCCGCCAGTCTCAAATGCCTTGCCAAGTCGGTATTCGAGGGATGTCCAAGATTCTGGTGGAGCCGCCTAAGTGAAGACTTCACTTCCGAGGCTAGGTTCTTGCCCTTCTCAAAGGAGATCGCTTCGGCGCCGGTCTTCGGAGCCCCGTCCGCGCCGCCACCGTCCTCGACCTCGGGCTTGTACTCAGTCACGTAGGCGCGGAACTCGGGGATCACTTCATCGTCGGGGTGTCGGTGGTCCTGGCGGTAGTCATCATTCACTCGTAGTACATCAGGTTCCTCGCAACGGTGGTGCCATTTGCCATCGTACCTCGCGAGCAGGTCCTTGATGCCTTCGTTTTTCCAACAAGGATCATCGGGAGGGGCTTCGATAGCGAGTTGCCGACCTTGATCCACATGCTCACATAGGTATCCCGTGATGCCCTTGATGTAGGAGGCCGTGGTCTTGGCGTGGAGCCACACCACTGCGGGGTTGAACTCGCGGATGGTGTCGTAGATGGCCTCGAGAGGTTGAGGATCCTCTCCACCATCGGAGTAGCCGTAGGGTTCCGCCGCCAGGTAGTTCAAGTCGGTGATCTCGAGGGTCTTGTGGAAGCCCCCGATCTCGAAGAAAGCCACTGCTTCAGGTCCTCGAGAGAGCGGGTAGTGGGTTGCCGTACAGGATGTTCCAGCCATCGTACACCACGTGGTCAGGGCTGCCAGTCGAGTGGCCTTCCTCCAGAGTCCTTTCCTGATGCTCTTCATAGGGCGATGCCGAACAGCTCGGGGAGGATCTTCGTCACATTCTGCGGGTTGTAGAGGTATTCCACGAAGAGGAAAGCGAAGATCACGAAGTTGGTCACGCTCGGTCACGGTACTCTGCTGGAAGCCACGAGTGGTGAAGCAGGACAGAGTCCATCGTTCTCCGTCCCACGGTTGGGTGGCATGCTTGATCTTCCCGTTGAAGGCGTGCACGGAGTTCTTGGTCTTCACGTTGTAGCCGGGGAGAAGATTGCCCTGCGCATCGGTCCTCCATTGGGTGCCGGGCGCGTCGGTCGCCCGATCCGGATCACTCATCCACAGTTCTCCTCCGGAGAAAGGACCAAAGGACACCGTCTTCACCGTGGTGCTCGGGAGGTTGTGTACGTCGGCGTGCACGGTGGTTGCGGCATTCTTGAACAGGACAAAGGACGACCACTGCCCGAAACCCTGGACCTTCATGAAAGAGTTCATGTACTTCACCGTCCAAGGAAGATCGTGGCTGGCCTTGGAAATCCCGCTCATCGGGCCGTAAGTATACATCCCAGCAAGGAAGTACTCGAGAGGTCCTCCGCCGCCTCTTCGCAAGGCCTTCCCTTTGGGGGTCCTCCGAAGGGGGACCGTCCTCGCCAGCTCCAGTAGGTCCTCGTAGGTGAAGAGCTTAAGGTTGAGCTTTTCCCGGGCAATCGTCTCGCAGGTCTCCGCCTCAGCCGCTTTGGTTCCGGTGGCCTTACGTTGGATTACATCCCCACTGCCTCCAGTGACCATCGCTTCCTGAGTAGGCTCGCCTAGCGTCCTGGATTGGTTCCCGGACTCATCGGAGTCGAGGTGGTAGAGGAAGTCATCGTAGTTCTCGTCGTTTTCCTCGGCTCCGTTTTCGCCATCAGAGCGCGCCTCCTCGCAGTCGTACAACTCCCCCGCGCCGCCGTCCTGGACCTTCTGGTTCTCGATCATCCCCTGGGGGGGATTCCATGCTGGTCCCGAAGCAGGGCCAGTCGTTCTTCCAAGGATCGCATCTCGTCGCTGACCTCCGGGGGCACTTCCTGATCCATCCTCACCGGTGTCGGGACAGGCGGTCCCTCTGCCGAGCGTCGCCGCACAGGGGTCGCACTTGGTGTGGATAGCCCGCGGCCTTGGACTTCGGAGTCGCCGCCTGGGACACTGCCAGGGCCTCCCGGTGTAGAAGATCCCAGGATGCCGTAGAGCTCCCGTCGTCCACGTAGGGGATCGTCGCACAGTCCTCCGCATCGAAGGGGTCCTTGATCTCCTGGGTCTCCGGGTTCCACTTGTGCATCTCGCCCTTCCACCAATTCGCGTAGAGGACCAAGTCCTCCGACGGATTGTCGTTGTTCTCGACTTCTCGCAATGCCCATGCTCGATAGGACACTGGAGTGTCCTTGTAGGCTTTCCCTCTGAACCTCCCGAACCCCAGGATGGATTCGGGTCCCGTCCCGCCCTGGTCCCTCAAGATCCTCATGACCGTGCCGCGGGTGGCGTACTGGGGGAGCAGGTAGTTCATCTCCATCGCCCGGATCTTGAGTTCCTCCAAGGTCATCGTCGCCATCCCCTTGGTGGCGTTCGCCGGGTGGTTGGCCGAGGGATTGCGCCGGTCCTCCTGGATTGCGGACCTCAGCTCCGTGGTCGTCCATTTTTGGTGCACCCACAAGTTCCTGGCTTGGGCTTCCGCCAAGAGTTCCGCCTTCGTGAACTCCGACAGCGTCTTTGCCCGGGTGACGACAGGAGCGGTCAGGAGGTCCGAGCTCTGAGCCATCTGCCGAAAGAGCGCGGGGAGGAAGCGAATGAGGCATTGAAATTCGTCTACGAAAGACACTTCTGCCGATCCAAAGAACCGGAAAAGATCCGTCATCACTGAGAGCTTGCCACAAGCCGTGCACTTCCGGAAACTCTCTATGGCTCTTGCAAGACAAAGCATGAATGCTCCTGACTGCACCAAGTGACTGTAGCAGCTTCTCCTTGTGGGCTGTGTTCTGCGTCTTCCAGTGCTGGGGGTTGAAGAAAGACCGACGGGGTATGACGTGAACACGAACCAACAGTTCAGCACTTTCGATCCAGAAATCGTTGGATATACTTGTAGACGACCACCAGGTAGCAAAGGTTGTGGGATTGAAGTTGGGGTCGAGGAGAAAGTTCTTGGTGGCTAACCCGATTTTCTTAGGATAGAACAAAGGATGATACCCGGGATCTCTTTTTGGACTTCGGGGTTCTTCAGGAAGAGCATCTCTTTCACCACCTCCACCATGCTCGTCACCAACTTCCATGGAGCTCACCATCCAACTAGTCATACAAGGCAAAGATCCCGAACTCGTCGATGAACCTGAAGCATCATCGCCCAAAACATCATCGCATCCCTTCCCCTTGGCTGCACTCATGTATTGCTCACCCTGCGGAAAGATCACGATCTCTGCGGACTCCCATTTGGAGTCCGTGCCAAAACATTTCGGCAAGGGTGCTGGCCTAATCTGAAACGCCGGGTGCCCAGTCTCGGTAATCTCCAACCCCATATCGTAGACGCCGAGGGCCTTGAAGGAGGCCTTGTTCTCAGCCACATCAAGCAGCATCCCCATCTTCCCGAGAGCACCGCGCGAGACCAACAACGGGACGTCGCCGTTCACAACGGCAACCCTGAGTCCAATCCGGAACCCGCCGAGCTCAAAGCAAAGGATGATCCCGTAGCTCGCAACAAACACCTTTGAAGCTCCGAACTTGAAAGCCTCGCGGCACGAGGTGAACTGCGGATCGCACTCCATCTTTCGAGCCTCGGTGAGGTAGGAGTCCACCCACGCCGCCCCCGCCACAGAGCGCGAGCAAGCTGTATCGGTGATCGCCAACAGGTCCTTGTTGACGAAACCCTCAATCTCCCATGTGACGTGGACCACGTGGCAGGGGTACATCGCCTTAGCATCGTCCCTTCCAACAGTAGCTGCAGCTGTAGATGGTCCCGCCTTGTTGCCACCAGCTCCAGAGTTGCCCGTTGGCCTGGTTCAACGGGCAAACACTGTCTTTGTGCCAGTGCCCGCGTCTCTTGCAGCCCGCACAAAAGGAGCGAGCCTTCGCTGCTTTCAGCTTGTCACTGGCCAGCTGCTTGAGAGAATCCGGATCGGAGCCCCTGAGCTTTGCATTCTCGCGGTATCGTTGCTTGGCCGACTCATGGGTCATGTACGCCTGGTAGAGCTCCTGGGCCACCTCTTCCGGAACGGCGTCCTCGTGGGCCTCGTCCAGCTCGAAAGTCTCATAGGCCTCGTAGGACCCATTCTCATCGATCCCCGCGAGATTCGCCGAGAAAGGCTTGCGTGGAGCCCAATCCTTCCTGGCAGGACGTGTCTGGTTTTCCCACGGCTTGCGGAGTCCTCGGTCATGAACAATGGCAGCCTGCTGGAGTGCCTTCAGCGAGTACTGGTTGCCCACCGAAGCAAGCAGATTCAGTTCTGCCTGCTCTTCCAGTCCCATCCTGTCCACGAAAACCCACGCCACGGCAACGTCCGGCAGTTGACAGCCGACTTCCTGAAGTCGGGAGTGCGCCCTGTCAAAATCCGCCATGTAGTCACGAACCGATTGGTTCGTCTTCCGGTGTAGGCTCCGGAAAAAGCCGGAGAGACTCCGGCCAATCTGCGTCACCTGAACATCCAGGTATCGATCTTTGATCCACTCCACCAGGTAGTCGACGCCAAACTTGCTCCCCAGCTTGTCCATATCAAGTCTTTCTGCATCCACCCAGGCGCGGTCCGTCAAGTGCTGATACAGGGTGAGGGCCTGTTGGTCCTCACTCATCCTCGTCATACGCCTCCAAGCAGATACTTGCCTGAGATACGAACGAGCTGAGGTGCCCAAATCGTCACCGGAGGAGGGAGTCAAGCCAGAAAAGCTCGGAACGATCATCCTCTCCGAAGGTCCACGGCTGAACTCCCCTCTCTTCGCTTCGTGTGGGGTGCCTTGGGCGTCCGTCGCAGGGCGCCATCCGTCTGGTTGCCATCCACTGCCTTGGTAGGCCTTCGAGTCGCTGCCAGACACATGGCGACCCCAAGCGTCCAAGGATGAATCCTTGGAGTCCCGATCTTGGCCTCCGTCCAGAGACCCCGTTCCTGTCGAGGCCGACCCCCAGGGTCGAGAGTCGTACCACGTCCCATCTTGGACAGCTCTTGAACTGAGATCCTGTGCCCACCCTGAGCGATCCCAGTTCCGGCTGTCGTTGCCCCATGAGTGACCCCACTGGCGATGCCATCCGTCACTCCACCACTGCTGTCCCGAAGCCCATTGATTCCCCGCTGTGCCGTGATCGTCACGAGGAGGGTTGCTATCTCCTACGCCGCTATGATCACCATCACCGCCATCACCATGTTGCTGCGGAGAATCGTCATCAGGTTGTTGAACATCACGCTTCAGGTAACCGTCATACATGCTCGTGGGACCACTGGTCGACATTGCAGCTAAGGAAAAAACAAAGTTCGCAGGACAAACAAAACTACGAAGGGCCTAGGAGCGCTAGTCGCTCCGCTACCAATTTACAACTAGAAGACGAGACCCAGTCCCCAGGGCCTCTGCGAAGCGCCCTCGCCGCTTTTGGCTTTGGGCCGACTCATGTGCCTGCGAACGCGGGTTGTCCGAAAAGGAACCTTCGAGCTTTACACTAAACCCCGGAAGTACCGCTTTTGGATCCGTGCTGAGACGAAAAGGGCTTAAAAAGAAAAACGGACCCCGACCTAAGAGCCCATAAGCCCAAAGCCTCATCCCCAAGCTTAGGGCCTCGTCCTTGCTAAGTTTAGGGTTTCAGGGCCTTAAGGGTTTAAGGGTTTAGGGTTTAAGGGTTTCAGGGTTTAGGGTTTAGGGTTTCTTCAGGGTTTGGGCAAGACTTCAAGAGGCCTGGATGCAAAAGGGTTTAGGGTTTAAGGGTTTCAGGGTTTAGGGTCAAGGAACACAAAAGGCCACCATGCAAGGATCCGAACAAACCGAAGCTCCCGGCAGAGTGTCTGAACCAACTGCAGGGGGCTTTGCGGGTTTGAGCTTCAGGCTTAGGCTTTTGTGATTAGGTTGAGGATTCGGGTGTTTTGTATTTGATGGTCTTGGTTATCAAGAACTTTTAAATATGTTTTCGCGTTTTTAGTTTGGTGGCGATAGGGGGCAAGCCGTAGAACCCACACGGCCATCAAGCCCTGTAACCCTTCAACCAGTCGACCATACCCTATATTGGTCAAACACCTCACAGGTGACCATGCAGGAGGTCTCTTGCATGTGTAGCATGCTGTGTGACAATAGTTTGGAAGTTGTGGCTTCGTTTAGGGTCGGGTTTTTCAGAACTCAGTATCGCTGCATCACATCGAATACCATCAATCACCATTTTCATACTCGTATGCTTCTGTGTAACTGTAATATAGGGGGCGTAAGAATGCAAACAGTATCCCCTCGTAGCCCCCAGACACCCAAAACCAAAGCCCTGTTCCAATGATGAAGGCCCCTTTGTTAGCAGCAGTGCAATCCCTGTTCTCAGGGCTTTGTGCGCGCCGTGCTGCCCGGAGATGCGAATCCTGGGGCCGTGCAGGCGACTGGGCCCATCCGGCGGTTATTGGAGTCAGGGCTAGTGGGAATGCATTTCGCTCTATGTATTCCATATGTGGCACTGCGAGATTCGCCAATTCTGGGGCCATGACCACCACCACCACCATCCCAGCATCAGCGGCATCGACAGCACCACCATCACCATCATGGAAACCCTAGATGGCACCATGTCGGCGAGATGTATTCTCAGTACTTGACTTTCTCGCGGCTACACCAGTTGTTGCTGGTTGATGACGATCGCGTAGAAGTGTGTAAGGAATGTGGCTGACCTGCGAGCTCGTTCTACTGAATTCTTGAGATGACTTTGGGAGCTTGCCTTCTCGATTCGTCGATCAGAGTGCTCCACCCAGCTAAGCCCTTCAGCCGGACGCTCTGTTGCTATAGATACTTCCGGACAGGTTGAAAGGTCAGTTTCTTCTTGGTCCGGGTTAGCGGCTCAGAACTTCAGGATCTTGTATAAGGAGCTGCTTGGCTCTGAAGGTTTCACTGCTTTCTCTTACTTGGCAAGAGTACCGTACCGGGCTCAAACCTTCAACCGGTTTAGTTTAAGACTCTGAGATGGTTTAAGAGTGTTTAGGGCTTATTAAATCTGAAGCTTTTGCAGCCTCATTCGCCTGTACAGGCTGCGCTGTATGCACAGGGCCTGCGCTACCACAGCTGCTTGGTTCTGCTTCCTGGGTTTGAACCGGGGCCGTGCACTTAAAACTTGAAACTGCTGGATCTCCGTATAGCCTCTTTCCCAGTCTGCGGAGTCCTCAGTGTTCCCTAGACTGAAAAAGTGGTCTTCTTGCCATTTCAACCCCCGCAGCACGGCGCCCTGCAAGCTGGTCGGTCACAGTCCGTCTTGCCGAGATGCCAAGCAGCGACGGGGAGGTCTAGCGCCTTTGTCAGAGCCTGAGGCACGTCTGAGGGCCATGACAAACTTCGAGTCAACACGATACAACATTTAGGGACAAGTTCTGGGATTTGAGCCGGTGTGGACCGGTTCTGGGTTTGGGGATTTGCTTCCGACGCTTGGATCTTGCCCATAGTTAGTGACGCGGTCATATTGCTCTTTGAGGTACATCAAAGAAGTTGCATCAACTAGTCGGCGCCTGCATTACATGACTTGCTCCACATTCCCCACTGTTTGCTGCAGGCAGCACTGCGCGGCCTTGCGCGGGAGCAGCGGCTGAGCGCATACCTGGACTGTTACAGCTGCCAGATCTTGCTGTCGTCAAGTTTCGAGCTTACGCAATGGAGCTTGCGTAGCTCCCGTCGACCTGAATGTTACTGCCTTGGCAGGCGTAAACATGTCTGGTCTTTCGAGGCTGGGTGGTAGTCTCAGGGAATGTTAGGATACACATAGGCCCCAAAGTCGTTCGTTTTTGGAATTACCTTCTAGGACTCTAGATACGAGCCCCAAAAAGCAACTACCTTCTTGAGGCCTTAGGGTGCACCAGAAACGAGCAGGACCGCCTCCGTGAAAAGCTCTCAGCTGCGGCCGCTGGACAGCGCCGAGCACGACGGAGTGCCGAGAGGTGGATTGAGCCCTGAAAAATAGGGGACTATGATGTAGTACCCTAAATAGCAGGATCCTAAACAGCCTGGGTGGAGGAGCCCCAAAGTAAGGTACCCCCTAATGTTCAGAGATGACGCCCACAACGACTCAACTGCGCGAACCTCGCTTCACAGAGTCAAAGGCTCAAGCCCCAAAGGTCCCAATTTCAGAAGCTGTGAGGCTCTCCCGAAGCCCCGGAACTCCTGCCAAAAAGCCTTGAAAGCCCAAAGTGGATTTTCGCTTTGATTCAGGCTGGTCTTCCTCTCAACCTTCCTGCCTCAGCACCAGGGGCTTCCACGCCTTTTCAACGCCAAGGCGAGGGAGAGAACAGTCGAAAGCGCCCAAATTTTCACCAGCAATACCTTATCCAGGGGCATTGGTTGCATATACTACTTAGCGGGTTCCCTATTGTGATTATGACAAAATATACCCCAAGACCTTGTTCTAATCATTAAGGCCCCTACAGTACATCACCCGGCGAGGAAGTGTCGGACCTCAACGCCTCACGCCCACCGGAGGCGCTCCATGGACGTGTTGTTTTCTTGGGGTTTTATGGGCTTAAGGGGTTTAGGGTTTCCGGGCTGCTGGACAATGAGCGAGGCCTGTTGAGAAGGTTAGGTTTATCCTGGGCCCTAAACCCTAAATCCTCAGCCTAACGAATAAAGTTCCTTCGAGATGCTTTGGGGCATTGCTGCATACACGTCCGCATTACAAGAGCCTAGTAGTGCACTGTTCCTTGTGGCTCCGTGATGTAGTCATACTATATACTATGCTTTACTACAGTCTACTTTATATTGCTATACGCCAAATACTTCAGCCCGAGGCTATTAGAGAGTTTATGCTTTAGGGACCGGGGATTCAACAAAGTATGGGGTTTAGGGTTGGATAGAGTTCTGATGTTTTGTGGTTTATCGGGTTTAGGGTTGAATAGGGTTGAGGTTGTGTGTGGATGTGTGTGGTTTATAGGCTTCAGGGTTGGTGGGTTTAGAGTTGAGGCTCTGTGGGAAGGTCTTGAGCTCGACACCTTTATACCCGGAGTCCTAGGTCTTGATTCGCTAAGCACAGGCTTCATGACTTTCAGCTTCGGGATCCAATAAGGTGTTTTATTCACCAAGCCATCTTTCTCTTCCCAGAATCAGGGCTAGTGCTATTTCAAACTTCGAGCTTTGGGAAAGAGACGCAAGTGACCTTGCCATGAAATGAATCTGTCAGCATGTTTTCTACCTGGGGTTTACTACGTCATGAGTGATGGGTCAAGAATCTCCTGAAGCTCCCATAGGGTCAGATCTGAACCTTTTCCTCCATGGCTTATGGAAGACAAGTTTTTTTCCGGATGCTTCCATGGCATGGTTCAAATTCTATATGTTTCCGGAATATGACCCTAAACCCTTATGGTGAGCCTGAGCCCCAAGTTTGTAATCCTGTGCCCTGTTGAACTGTCGCTGCTGTCGGATCAGGCAGCCGTTCCGAACATGTCTCACGTTTCATGCTGCCGCCAGCACCCTGCACGCGGGCTTCGAATCGTTCCCTAATCCTCGAGCTCCAAAAGCCCTAAAGCCCAAAATCCTATACTCTCAGCCCGAAAGCCCCAAATCCTACGTATGCCCTGCAGCCGTAATTCTTATACCCTAAACCCGATTCCCAAAAGTCTTGAGGAGCCCTGACCCCCCCCCCCCAAACCCAAAAGCTATAAAACCCAGAGTTCCCAAGCCGGGTGTCTCCTGGCAGGACCAGCTAGAACTGCTCCCAACCGGGCTCTTGAACCTTTGCTGCACATACCCTATACCCGAAACCCCAAACCCCTAAACCCTAAACCGTTAGGGCCTATAGCGCTTTTCGAGTTCATTTCTTCACATGCCTTGCAAGGCTTGAAGGGTTACAGGGCTTCGATCGGCTTCCTCGCGTGGGTGTGGATCAGGGTTTTTCAGGTTTTCGGTGAGGCTTGGGCTATGAGAATTGCTAAACCCATCGTAGGCATGTAGGGAGTTGGGGAGGGCGGGGGGTGAAGGTCTCTCTGTGCGTGCGGTCCGGAGAGGGCAGTTGTGCTGCCTTTGCCACTCGAAGGAAGAACCATTGCTGCTTTCCGGAGTGCCCAATGTTCCTCAAAGACCTGTGGCTTGGCTGCAGATAGTGTTTTGCAAGGTTGAAGATGTCGAGTCCAGTGTAGTGCTTGCATGTAGTTCTATGTCAGCTTTCTTTGGAGTTAGACAGTTCGGGCTGCATGTGTGAAACCTCGGATTGACCGACTGTGTTGTGCGATTAGTAGACTCTGCCCGGTTGGTTCTGAGCCTCTATGCCCAAAGCAGCCCAGGCGCGGCGAGACGGATCG